TCCTGCGGTCCCGGGCACGCACCAGATGGCACTGCGTCCTTCCACTGCTCCGCAGCGTGTCCCTTTGCCATCTCCTCCGGAGTCCTCTCTTCCTGCTCTTGCTGACCCGGAGTCTGACTCTCTTCGTGCTGCCAGTCCTACTGTCACACGTCTCCTGGCTACTGTTGGTCGACTTTGCTGCTCACTGTTGTCTAGACTACGCTGCTAGTCTTGTTGCTGAGTCTGAGTCTGTCTGTCCTCCGTCCGTCGGGGCTGAGTGTGCTCTTAGCACGGACGTCCTTGAGGACAGGCAGGAGGAGTTCCAGTGCTTTGCTGCTGCTTTGCCTCATCTCGTGTCCATGCTGATTGCCCCTGAGGGAGACCCGGATGCACCAGACATCCCGACTCCGCGCTCTTACGCAGAGGTGATAGAGGGTCCCTACTCCTCTCAGTGGCAGTCAGCCATGGACGCAGAGATGGCTTCCTAGAAGTCCACAGGCACCTACGTCGACGAGGTTCCCCCACCTGGGGCGAACATCGTCAGTGGCATGTGGATTTTCAGGGTGAAGCGGCCGCCGGGCTCTCCGCCTGTCTTCAAGGCGCGTTACGTGGCTCGAGGCTTCAGTCAGCGGCAGGGAGTTGACTACTTTCAGACCTTCTCTCCCACCCCGAAGATGACCACTCTTCGGGTGCTACTGCACATAGCCGCTCAGCGCAACTACGAGCTTCACTCCCTTGACTTCAGCACTGCTTTCCTATAGGGCAGCCTGCACGAGGAGATCTGGCTGCGCCGCCCACCTGGCTTCACTGGGTCGTTTCCTCCTGGTACCCAGTGGAGCCTCCGACGGCCAGTGTACGGTCTCCGCCAGGCGCCCCGTGAGTGGCACGACACACTGAGGACTACACTTGCGGCTCTTGGGTTTGCTCCTTCTACTGCCGACCCGTCACTGTTTCTACGCACCGACACCTCTTTGCCGCCGTTCTACATCCTCGTGTACGTCGACGACTTGGTCTTTGCTACTGCTGACACTGCTGGACTCGCCCACGTGAAGTCCGAGCTGCAGAAGAGACACACGTGCACAGACCTGGGTGAACTGCGCAGCTACCTTGGCTTGCAGATCACCCGGGACAGAGCATAGCGCACCATTACCCTGACTCAGTCACACATGGTGCAGCAGGTCCTTCAGCGCTTCGACTTCACGTACTCCTCGCCTCAGGCCACTCCTCTGTCTACTCGCCACTCGCTCTCAGCTCTGCCTTCGGATGAGTCCGTAGAGCCGAGTGGCCCGTACCCAGAGCTTGTTGGCTGCCTCATGTACCTGATGACCTGCACACGACCTGACCTTGCATACCCTCTTAGCATCTTGGCACGCTATGTTGCTCCTGGGAGACACCGACCAGAGCACATGGCTGCAGCGAAGAGGGTGTTGCGCTACTTGTGAAGTACGTCGGGCATGGGGCTAGTGCTTGGAGGGCGGCGTCCAGTGGTCCTCACTGGGCACGCAGACGCTTCTTGGGCTGACGACCAGGCTACACAGCGGTCGTCACAGGGTTACACCTTCAGCCTTGGTTCCGGCTCTGTTTCGTGGCGGTCTACCCGCTCGTCTTCTGTTCTCGGCTCCAGCTATGAGGCTGAGATCTACGCAGGGGCCATGGCTGCACAGGAGCTACGCTGGCTCACCTACCTGCTGACTGACCTAGGAGAGCCGCCTCGTTCTCCTCCAGTTCTGTACGTAGACAACAAGGCCATGCTGGCCTTGTGTCGGGAGCACAGACTAGAGCACGGAACGAAGCACATTGCTCTTCGCTACTTCCTTGCTCGTGAGCTGCAGCAGCGTGGTCAGCTGCGCCTTGCCTACGTGGCCTCTCAGGCCAACACTGCTGATATCTTTACCAAGGCACTTCAGCCTTGTGATCATCAGCGCTTTTGTACGATGCTAGGTCTTGTGCCTACTTGGCCTCACTTGCTCACTTCTTGACCTTGCTTGTACTGTGATCTATCTATACCTGCACTTGCTTGTTTACCTTTATATATAATCTTGCATGTGAACTGGCCTTGTGGCCTTGAACTTGTGCTCGGAATGTGTGGTGACGTTGTGATCCACCCTGAGCTTGCTGTGCTTTGCTTGACTGGTCTTGTGACCTCTTGTTCTCCCCCACTTTGCCTATGGGGGTGTGTCAAACTTATATGCTATAGTCTTTGTAGGCTGTAGTGGGGTAGACAATATGGGGTACAACACTTTTAGGTTTTCCTACTTGTACCCACCTGTTTCCTACTGCATTCATTCCTCGTTCTTTCACACCTCTGGGATCCCGTTCCTCCCGTACCGTCTCCTAGCATCTGTCACGCCGGTTCGTCTCGTACCCTAGCGACCGTTACGCACGTATCGTCCCCTGGCGCCTGTCACGCCGGTTCGTCTCATTCCCTAGCGCCCGTTACGCCCGTATTGTCCCCTAGCGCCTCTCTCGCCGGTTCGTCTCGTTGCCTAGCTCCCATTGCGCCTAGCCTACCGCGCCCGACGCCCGTAGCGCCCGTAGCGCCTGTAGCGCCCGTAGCGCCCGAAGCGCCCGTAGCGCGCGTCCCGTCCCGTCCCGTCGTCCCGTCCCATCCCGTCACGTCCCGTCGTCCTGTCCCGTCGCATCGCGTCTGTCCCGTCCGTCGCGTTGCGTGTGTCCCGTCCCGTCTAGCTCGTAGCGTCTGTCTCGTCTGTCCCGTTGCGTTCGCCGTGCCTGCCCATCCCGCAGCGCCACACCGCGCCCGTCTCGTTCTGCCTGCCGCGCGGCGCCGAGCCGCGCGCGTCTCGTTCTGCCTGCCGCGCGGCGCCGAGCCGCGCGCGTCCTGTTCTGCCTGCCGCGTAGCGCCTCGTGGCGCCCTACCCTAGCCTCCTGCAGTGCCTTGAGCCTCACCCACTGCCTGTCACGCCCTCCTTATGCCCTTTACGTGTCTAGGGTTTCGGCAGCAGCTGTTCCCACCTCTTCGCTTCCGCTATGGCGACCCCTTAGGGTCCTGCGCTTTGACGCCGAGGGTAGGCCACTCGAGTTCTCGGTCTGGCTCTAGCGTGTGCGCCGCCCCCTAGAGAGTCAGGTTCAGGCAGACGAGTCTTTGTGGGCGCACGCTTCCGGTGACCTTCCTGTGCCCCCCGCCCTTGCACCCTTAGACGCTGACGCTAGCACTGCAGACAGAGACCGTTATGCACGCCAGCGTGCTGACTTGACAGCGTGGAAGTCGCGTGACGCTGCGGCTTGCATCGCCCTTAGCAGCCTCCTCCCTGAGTCTGAGGAGGCCCACTTCAGTCAGGTTCCCACTGCAAGTGAGTTCCTGACTGCGATCAAGGCCCGCTATGCTAGTCCCACCACTGTCTCTCTTGTTCGACTTTTCCTCCCATTCCTGTTTCCTGTCCTCGCCTCGTTTTAGCGCTGTGCTGACTTGATCGCTCACCTGCGCTCGCTTGATTCTAGCTACCGCGCTGCCTGCACTGACAAGTAAGTTGCACTGCTCCCTCCCCCTATGGCGATTACGATCTATTTCATCGCCACTAGTCTCCCTGACCGCCTTGCCTCGGTTCGTGACGCGCTTCTTCTGAAGCACCGTAGCGAGCTCACTATCGAGGTCCTTGAGTCTGCCCTCAAAGACGTCGAGAGCAACCTCCGCTCGGTAGCCTCCGCCTCTGGTGCTGTGCCCCCTCCACTATTTCGCGGGTGCACTGTCCCTCAGCTGCCCACCTTTACTGCCTCCCTCGCCACTGCCACTACTGACATGACTGCAGCTGCTGTTACGACTTCTTCGCAGTCTAGGGGTAGGAGTGGCAGGAGGGGCGGTAAGGGTTGTCGGAGATTCATCCTCTGTTGCTTCCCGTGGCTTGCCTTCTCCTTCCCGGACTCACCCTCGCTCCCTTCTTCTTCTGAGCTCTGTTCCTGTGATACCTTACCTGCTCTGCCTCAGCCACTACCTTGTGAGAGATTCTGCCTCCCCCACGTATGGCTGCCCACAGTGGCTTAGTCGCCTAAGCTGGAGTTAGCTATCAAACGGCAACCTATATCCACTATTACGAGCAAACAAACAAGAGAACGAACTAAGCAGTGAGTTCCTAGCCTATTTGAGTCCCTACCCCGTGTCGTGCAATTTCCCGTAAGTCACATTGGGCTCCGCCCACTAGGCTTCAGATTGGCCCTTCGGATTGCCCAGGGCTCGCCCTTGAATTTGTCCCACCCTGCGCCTCGCAAGTCCCTTGGTCACCACTTCGCGTCACTACCCACGCACCAAACTCACCTTCTACAGTACTTCGATTAACCCTAATACACCTACACTAGCGAGTAACAGAATATATTGCAAACAACAATCTATTCGGTGACAGCTGTCGGAGATTCATCCTCTGTTGCTTCCCGTGGCTTGCCTTCTCCTTCCCGGACTCACCCTCGCTCCCTTCTTCTTCTGAGCTCTGTTCCTGTGATACCTTACCTGCTCTGCCTCAGCCACTACCTGCCCCCTCCAGAGCTCGTGCTCGGGTCTCCCGTGCACGTGTCACTGGACACTCTCGCTGAGGCCGGTGGCTTTTCACCACTGCAGCATTCGTCAGATGGTACCCTGTCTACTCTCTTCTCTGATTCCTCAGCACCAGCACTCTTGGACGCCTCAGGTCCTTCGTCTCCCTTCGCTGTGTGTCCGGTACCACTTTCCGAGTATCCCCCTCTGCAGGTAGGCTTCCTGTCTCGCTTCCGCTGGCGTAGCTGTCGTTTTTGTCGCCCTGCTGCAGTCTCTGCTTGTGCCTGTACGTGTGCATTTCGCAACTCTATTGTACGCATGACCTCCGCCGCTGCTGTTTTCTCCTCGTCCAGGTATTCTGCTGTCTTGGCTCCCTCCCATGCCACCCAGTTCTCAGCCCCTTTCATTCCCGCTGGTCCTGGCAGCACCTGTGTTGCTGGCTGCATCGCCTCAGCTTCCCATATTCCTCGCTTACTCCACCTTACTGTCTTCACGGCCTCTTTTCCTTCCGGACTCATCGCATCTCCCGTTGTGTGCCCTACTTCTTCCCCTGCAGGCAGGCACTCCCATGTCCCCACCTCCTTGTTCTCCCTCTCTGCTTCCTCCCGCTCCTGAGCTTTGGCCCACACTGGACCTTCCCATCCTCCTACCCGTAGGTCTCCTTGCCCCCAGTCGCACGCCATCTCCACTTTCATGCTGCTCACACCTGTCTCAGCTCCTCTCACGGCTTCTTTCACCATTTTCGCCCCCAGCATCTGTGGAGGTTCTTTCCTCAGCTTCCGCACATGCTGCTTTGCCATCCTACTTCCCTGCACTTGCTTCTCTGGCTTTAGTACACACGACCGTGCCCCCACCTTCTCGTCCTTCCCTTCCGCCTCTGCTACTGCTGGTACACACGCTCCCGCCCCCACCTGCTCTTCCTTTTTCTCTACCTTTGCTGCTGCTGTTACACACGCTCCCGCCCCCACCTGCTCTTCCCTTTTCTCTACCTTCGCTGCTGCTGTTACACACGCTCCCGCCCCCACCTGCACTCCCTTTTTCTCTACCTTCGCTGCTGCTGTTACACACGCTCCCGCCCCCACCTGCACTTCCTTTTTCTCTGCCTTCGCTGCTGCTGTTACACACGCTCCCGCCCCCACTTGCACTTCCTTTTTCTCTACCTTCGCTGCTGCTGTTACATACGCTCCCGCCCCCACCTGCACTTCCTTTTTCTCTACCTTCGCTGATGCTGTTACATACGCTCCCGCCCCCACCTGCACTTCCTTTTTCTCTACCTTCGCTGCTGCTGTTACACACGCTCCCGCCCCCACCTGCTCGTTCTTCCCTTCCACGCCGGCTGCTACCAGTCCACACGCCCCTGCCCCCTTCTTCTCGTCCTTCTCTTCCCCTTCTGCTGCTGCCCTTGCTCCCACCTCCTCGTCCTTCCCTTCCGTGCCTGCCGCTTCTGGTTCATCCGCCCATGCCCCCACCTTCTCGTTCTTCCCTACCAAATCTGGTGCTACTTGCACACACACCCATGCCCCCACCCTACTCACTTGCTTCCTTCTACCGTCCCTGCCCCCACTGCGCCACCCCATATCTTCATGGCGATGCAGCACCGCACAGGAGTACTCTGGCTCCTGCTCTTCTTCCTCCTCTTCCTCTTCCCTCGCGTACAGTCCTGCTTCTTCCTCTGTCTTGCCTCCCAAAGCCTGCATCTGAGCCCGCAGCCTTCGTATCTGAGTTTCTATCTCCTCTTGTGACCTCCTCGCTCCCCCAATCCTCTGATAACAGTCTTTCTGCTGATGCCCCCTCTTTCCACACACCCCACAGGTTGGCGCGTCAGGGCAGTTCTGACGGCGGTGCCCTGGTTTCCCACACACGTCGCAGTTCTTGCAATTCAACTTCACATGTCCCGGCTGTCCACACCTGTAGCAGGTTCTCATGTCTGTCCTTCTCTCATGTTGCTGCTCCTCTTCGCCTCCCGCCCCTGGTGTCATTGCTGCCGCCCAGGTGGGTCGCATCTTCTCTGCCGCCCTTGGCAGGTATGCCTCATAACGCCTCTGTGCCAACTCCACCTTTTCTGTTAGCTCAAACACTTCCTCCAGGGTTGCTTCTGCCCCCAGCTCGTAGACTCTCATTTTCAGTCCTCCGGCCAGCCCATCGTCCAATCCTGCCAGGAACTTACTGATCAGCATGCTGCTGTCGGTACACACCACATCCTCGGCCAGGTTCATGAGCCGCCCATAATACGTCAGCAGCGACTCGTCCTCCTGTTAAGAAATGAGGAATGATTTACTAGAGGAAAGGGTTGGGTACAAGTACAAACCCTAGAAATGTGTTGTACCCCATATGTGCTACCCCACTATAGCCTACACAGGCTAAGTCATATAAGTCTGACACTCCCCCATAGGCAAAGTGGGGGAGAACAAGGGGTCACAAGACCAGTCAAGCAAAGCAAAGCAAGCTCAGGGTGGATCACAACCTCACCACACATTCCGAGCACAAGTTCAAAGCCACAAGGCCAGTTCACATGCAAGATCATATATAAAGGTAAACAAGCAAGTGCAGGTATAGAAAGATCACAGTACAAGCAAGGTCAAGAAGTGAGCAAGTGAGGCCAAGTAGGCACAAGACCTAGCATCGTACAGAAGCGCTGATGATCACAAGGCAGAAGTGCCTTGGTAAAGATATCAGCAGTGTTGGCCTCAGAGGCCACGTAAGCAAGGCGCAGCTGACCACGCTGCTGCAGCTCACGAGCAAGGAAGTAGCGAAGAGCAATGTGCTTCGTTCTGTGCTCCAGTCTGTGCTCCCGACACAAGGCCAGCATGGCCTTGTTGTCTACGTACAGAACTGGAGGAGAACGAGGCGGCGCTCCTAGGTCAGTCAGCAGGTAGGTGAGCCAGCGTAGCTCCTGTGCAGCCATGGCCCCCGCGTAGATCTCAGCCTCACAGCTGGAGCCGAGAACAGAAGACGAGCGGGTAGACCGCCACGAAACAGAGCCGGAACCAAGGCTGAAGGTGTAACCCTGTGACGACTGCTGCGTAGCCTGGTCGTCAGCCCAAGAAGCGTCTGCGTGATCTGTGAGGACCACTGGACGTCGCCCTCCAAGCACTAGCCCCATGCCCGACGTACTGCACAAGTAGCGCAACACCCTCTTCGCTGCAGTAGACGGAGTAGGGACCCTCAATCGCCTCAGCGTACGATCGAGGAGTCGGGATGTCTGGTGCATCCGGGTCTCCCTCAGGGGCAATCAGCGTGGACACGAGATGAGGCAAAGCAGCAGCAAAACACTGGAACTCCTCCTGCCTGTCCTCAAGGACGTCCGTGCTAAGAGCACACTCACCCCCGACGGACGGAGGACAGACAGACTCAGACTCACCAACGAGACTAGCGGCGTAGTCTAGACGACAGCGAGCAACAAAGTCGACAAGCTCAGCAACCAAGGCAGACGCAGCAGTGGACTCAAAGGAAGGGTCAGTGATAACAGTAGCCAGGAGACGCGTGACAGTAGGACTGGCAGCACGAAGAGAGTCAGACTCCGGGTCAGCAAGAACAGGAAGAGAGGACTCTGGAGGAGACGGCAACGGGACACGCAGAGGAGCAGTGGAAGGACGCAGTGCCATCTGGTGTGTGCCTGGGACCGCAGGAGGACGCGGACGCGGAGCACGACTACTAGTGCGAGCAGCACAAACAGGCGACGCAGGACGAGACGCAGGCTCACGACGCTCAGCAAGACCTCCAGTAGGACCAGTGTAGGGAGAAGGAGCAGGCAGGGGGGAGGCGGGCTGTAACTGTGACCGCGACTGGACAGGCTGTGGACACTCTAAGGGAGGAGCAAGACCAGCAGAGGGCGTGAGACCAAGAACCTGCTCAAGGAGCGGAACGAAGTACGGCCGCGGCCGCGCAGCGCCTCCAGAACCAGCAGGGACAGCACCAGTACCCCCAGCGGCAGCAGCACCTCCAGCTCCAACAGCGCCAACTCCAGCACCCTCAGAAGTACCAGCGCCAGTAGCACCTCCAGCGCCAACACCCCCAGCTGCTCCAGCTCCAGCAGCTCCAGCTCCAGCAGGACCGTCAGCTCCAGTACCGCCAGCAGCTCCAGCAGTACCTCCAGCAGGACCAACTCCAGTAGCCCCAGCAGCACCCCCAGTCCCAGCAGCTCCAGTACCGCCAGTACGAGCACCTCCAGGACCAGCAGCAACAGTAGCACCTCCAGCTCCAGCAGCACGACTCCAGCGCCGGGCAAACCACTCGCGCAGCTCCTGCGGAGAGGGTGGCTCCCGCCTCGACGAAGCACCGCCAGAGGCCACACAAGCAGACCCAGCACCCCCAGGCTCCGCACCCCCAGGCTCAGCACCCCCAGGCTCCGCACCCCCAGGCTCAGCACCCCCAGACCCGGCACCCGCAGGCTCAGCACCCCTAGACTCTGTCAAACATTATATATGTTGTGTTAGTTTAGGCTACAGTGGGTTAGCCTATAGGGGGTACACAATTCTAGGGTTAGGTACTTGTACTCTTTTCATTGCTAGTTCATTCATTCCTGTTCAGTGATTCCAACATGGTATAGAGCAGGTCCTTCCTAGGACCGAAATTTTCTAAGGGCCCACCACTACGTAACTACCTACCTACCTACCTACCCGTGCCCTAGGGCGCCTCGGCGTGTCACGCCCCTAGAGGCCCCCCTCTTGACGGCCCCGCGCTAGCCCCGTTCAGGCCCCGTCGGCCCCTTTAAGGCCCCGTTCAGGCCCCGCGCTAGCCCCGTTTAGGCCCCGTCGGCCCCGTTTCAGGCCCCGTCGGCCCCACGCTAGCCCCCCTCAGGCCCCGTCGACCCGCGCTAGCCCCGTCTCAGGCCCCGTCGGCCCCTTTTCAGGCCCCGTCGGCCCCGCGCTAGCCCCTCTCAGGCCCCGTCGGCCCACGCTAGCCCCGTTTCAGGCCCCGTCGGCCCCGTTTCAGGCCCCGTCGGCCCCGCGCTAGCCCCTCTCAGGCCCCGTCGGCCCGCGCTAGCCCCGTTTCAGGCCCCGTCGGCCCGCGCTAGCCCCGTCTCAGGCCCCGTAGGCCCCGCGCTAGCCCCTCTCAGGCCCCGTCGGCCCCGCGCTAGCCCCATTCAGGCCCCGATCGGGCCCGCGCTAGCCCCGTTTCAGGCCCCTTCGGCCCCGTTTCAGGCCCCGTCGGCCCCGCGCTAGCCCCGTTCAGGCCCCGTCGGCCCCTTGCTAGCCCCGTCAAGGCCCCGTTTGGCCCCGCGCTAGCCCCGCTCAGGCCCCGATCGGCCCCGCGCTCGCCCCTCTAGGGCCCCAACCGGCCCCGTGCCTACCTCGCCGACCCGTGCCCACCACCCAGAGGCCCCGGGCGGCCCGTTCCCGCCGCAGCACAAGAGGGAAAGCGGGCGGCCCGTCCCCGCCGTGACCTGAGCCGAGCCGCGCGCCCCGAGCCGAGCCGCGCCACCCAGCCGAGCCGCGACCCGACCTGAACCGAGCCGCGCCGCCCTGCCCTACCTGGTTCGTCCTACCTGCTTCTCCTACCGCTACTGCTGCTATTTCTACTGTTCCTATGGCTAGCCCACAGGTTCTCGTGTTCGATGCTGAGGGCCGCCCTGTGAAGTTTGACACCTGGCTCGATGACCTGCACCTCTACCTACAGCTCACAGCCAAGGATGACATCTCACTGTACGATCACGCCCTAGGCCTTGTCACTGCCCCTGCTGCTACTGCTGACAGCACTGCTCGCTCACAGTGGCAGACTCGTGATGCCCACGCTCGCTTCGCCATTCGCAACTCCCTGCCGATAGACGAACGCGAGCACTTTGGTCAGCACAAGACTGCACCGGCACTGTACACAGCTGTAGTTGCTCGCTACTCCTCACCTGCCTCTGCCGCACTAGGCCGTCTCTCCCTCCCCTACCTGTTTCCCGACCTGGCCTCCTTTCACACAGTCGCTGACCTCATCACGCACCTCCGTACTAGTGAGGCCCGCTTCCGTGCCGCCATGCCTGCTGAGTTCCTTGCCACGCACCCCCCTCCACTCTGGCTCACTCTCTATCACCTAGTCACCCGCCTCCCTGACACACTGCGTGCTGTCAGGGACCACTTCCTAGCTCGTTGCCCCACTGAGCTCACCATTGCCCTCCTCGAGAAGGAGCTACTTGCAGCTGAGGCTAGCATAGTCGCTGTAGGTGCCTCTCGTGGCGACCCCCGTACCCCGTTCTTTGAGGGGTGTTCTCCTTCCCCCCTTCTTCCCTCTGTCGCCTCTGCTGCTGCTGTCGACCTTCTTGGTACTGAGAAGGTCGGCACTGCGTCTGCCTCGAGCGGACGCCGCAGCGGCAAGGGCAAAGGGGGCAAGGGTAGTGGCGGTGACGGCGGGGGAGGCGGCGGTGGGGGCGGTGGAGGCAGTGGGGGTGGTGGCTCGGCTGGAGGGGCGAGTGGTAGCGGTGGGGGTGGTGGCGGCAGCGGCGGGGGAGGTGGCAGGAGTGGAGGCGGCGGTTGGGGTGGCGGTGGACGAGGCGGCGGCAGGGGTTGGGGTGGTCGAGGAGGTGGCAGCGGTGGTGGTGGCCGTGGAGGCGCTGGCGGTGGCCAGGGCCAGCAGCACACTCTCTCGCCCC